GCATAGAAATATGCGCGAACCGGTCACTGGAATATATTAATCTGAACCATGTAGCGAATTTGGACGAATCGACGCAATTAAAACAAACAAATAAAAAAAAACAAGTCGGTTATTAATTAGTTGATAGTCTTCATTTGCACACATTAAAACCCAGATGCGGTATAAAGTCGCCACTTACCCCATTATCACATTTACTTACCCTGTAAATTTGGAATTTATAGAAGGCGATATGGATGGAAGAATTCGTTATCCAAAATCCCCAACGAAACATCATCATTAAACATAAGAAATTACTCACAAAGACTAGAACTCTAAACTTTTCAACGGTCATTTGTCGCAGAGCTTCTATACTCGTTTCAGTGCACCAATTTTACATTAACGCATTAAAGTACACGAAAACCGATAACCACCAGAAGACGAATTTATAGACGAACCAAGTAACATAATAATATTGTTTGTAGACGAAAGTCCAAATGCTCAAATGCTTACCCAAATGTCAAGTGCTATACCTAGTGATCACTTGGGTGTTTGAATCGTTTGAGCTGGTTTATTTCTTGAGAAAACTAACTTCTTCGACCAATGCGCATGTATGATTTTTACTGACATATTTATCTGGTTGAGCTTAGCTTATCATATAATTATGTTACCTTCCAAAATAAACAAACTACACTGCTGGATCACATTGATTTATGAACCATTGAACCTGTAAATATTTTCCCATTCCATGCATAAACAAAAAAATGCAATTTTTTTCTCAATTAATGCTCTTTATTTCGCTTATTAATGCCGATGATGATATCATTCAATAAGTTGATGGTTTTTAGTAGGAAAATAGAAGTATAAAACTAAATTAAACAATCATTTCCAATTCACGCGCATAGAAAATGGCTTGTTCAACCAATTCAACTGACGGCACTGGTTCTTTTGGTTTGTTTGTTTGGCTGGCAAATGTGTACACATTGCCCGGACCTAAAGACCAATTACGTCTCTTACCAAAAGAGATAGCTTCCTTTTCGTTTTTGAAATTCAATCGTTTTTGTGCTTCTTTTGTGGAAATCTTGTCGTATGAGCTTTCCAAGCATGCACCAATTTCATCGCGAACTGTTTCCAGCAAAAGATCCATGAAAATATTGTAGCTTTGTGCTGGTACTTGACCCTGAAAATGAATAAGAAATGAACATGGTAAATATGCGCGAATAAATGATAAAATTATTGCAAAAGAAATACCTTAGCTCTGAAGATTTTGTAGTAGCTACCTAGGGGAGAATCACAAAAGAAAAGAATAGAATTTATTTAAAATAATCGACAAATAATCGGAAACATATAATGAAAATGAAAGTTGATAATCAATAATGATAATGAGTAATGAAACAGAATGGAAAATAATGTGAAAATGATATGTAAGCAGTAACTTACAAGTGTATATATCAATAAATTGAAATAAGGCGACCACATTTATAAAAAGAAATCTTAAATGAAAACTTTCCATTACTGAAATCGCGATAGCTAAAAAAATAGCTGAAAATTGAGATTTTGGTGATTGATTGATGATTGTTGTAGCGAAGATCTGTGCATAGAGAAAAAAAATGGAAATTATTATAAAATTAGTAATTAGCAGAAAATTCATGTATTAATTTGGTCAATGAAAACGGGATTCGGTTCTACATGTCGCAGTATGCACAAACCGCGATATAGAATGTTGCGACCCGCATTTACGTCCCGATTCCACACCACGATCACAGTTCCAAGTCGGCCGGCCCGGTTGTTTTTAACTATCCGTACAATCTTTGAAACCATTCGTTGTGGTTGTGGATTTGGTACATCCATTTGCATTTGTTCATCACCGTCAACGATAATGAAAATGTCTTCTTCTTGTTGTTGTTCTTCTCGTACTTCCACTACTTCTACTTGTTGTACTACATCAGCGACCAATGGCATCACTTCATCTTCATTGTTCACATTGGCTGGATCTGGTGCTGCTGCATTGTTGACGTTTTCACCTGCATTCAAACGACGACGTAGTTCTCTTTTCAAACGACGTCGCTCTCTTCTCAAACGACGTTTACTTTTCCTCGTCCAAACTACATGTGCTGGTTCTGCAAGGATCTTTACAATACAATTCAAACACGTTCTGTATCGTGCTTTCGGTTGATTGTTTGGCGCTTGCAATACGGTCCAGCATAGGCTGCACAACATTGTCGTTCGATTTTCATCTACTACCAAACACTTACATCCACGTCGTCGATTGAAATAATGCACATAGCGATTCGTTTGTGGTGTTTCTGGATGACCTTTGAGACCTTGTCGCATCTTTGCTCCGCCGATGACAATGAGCGTTGGTTTACCTTGACACAATTCGTTTGTGATTTTATCCATCGCTTTTTGTTTCTTGATGAAACCACCGAATGCCAAATAGGTATACTTGAGCGAACAGTAAACTTTGATTTGTTCATTGAAAAAACGAAAATGGTGATTCGCAAAATCAACATAGTGTGGACATGTTTCGGAGATCTCCGGATACGTCATTCGGTCTGCCAACAAACGATCTTGCAACTTTGTGTCAAGTTCTTCACGCAATTTCTTTTGTTTTTTCGCATTGATTAGGCGATAATATTTGCCAGCCTCCACTCGAATATTGCGCTCGACTATCACGTCATTATCTCGATATTCCCTGGCAACACCAGCAACTGTTAGTCTTTTGCCTGGATCCAATCCGAGCAATCGTTCGAATTTGCCACGTTCAAAATCTTGCGAAAGTCGTTCGATTCGATCTTCCTCGGTTTGTTTAACAATTGTTTTGATGCAGTTCAGAGACACGGCCACACCATCCGTGTAAATTAGTTGATTGAAATATTTCTTCGGTGTTGTCGGTATGATTTTTTCATAATCGAAATATTTCTGCCACATTTTTCGGACTAAACTTTTGTTGGCGAGGAACTCGTCACGTTTGTAATTTTTCGGTGTTTTGGTCGGTTTACGTGGCTTGCGACCGACGGCAGTCAAAGCATCGAATAAAGATCTCGAATCGAACATGATGTGCCGGCGCTGAAACGTGGCCAATGGAACAACTTTGAATCGACTGATGTTTTCGATTCCTTCTTGTTGTGCTTCATAAATGAACTTTTGCAAACGAAATAACAATGGGACATGCTGCATCCATGTTAGTTTAATGTCCATGAACATGCCACATTTATTTTCAATGTTTGGCTCCAGCAGCACGGTGAATGCATTAACTAAATCCGCTTCGTACTCAACTGTGCCATCAAACAGGAATCGAATTGTGCGATTTACGACATTTTTGTTATGGTTTTTTTGTTGTTTTGTATAGGCTGGATGCAGACTATTTTGCACAAACATGAAAAATCGACGTAGTCGAGCCTTCGTGTGTATTACAATGATGAGCATGAAATTTGTGTGATATTGTTGGTACATAAACTTGATTTGTTGCGCTATATTATTGCTGGTTTGGAGGACATCCTCACCATTTCGCAACATAATATCGAGAAATTCCGGTGCATGTTTTTGAATTGGATAGTCATCGCTTCGGCACTTGTCTCGCAGCACGCCGTAAAAATATTCGGACAACATTTGCTGTGTCTCCGACCATTGATTGTTTGGACGGTCAGTTTTGTTGAAAAATTCGGTAATTTCCTCCAGTGTGCCCTCTTCCATCTTTTTATTGAAGATAAAATGAATTGCACTCGATGCTTGTATCGCAATTTTCGTGCATCGCACCACATCGTCAGAGATGCGGTTTAACAGCAAGCGTTTTGCATTTTCATCATCGGGTATATCATTTAATACACCTCTCAAACCAGTTTTAACGGTAAAATTTACCTGTTCGAATTCGACTTTCGGTGCCTTTTTTGTTTCGGTCGGACCGACACTGGTGCTGGAACTACAGTGTGCCGCAATCTCTTCTTCGGTCAAACGATTCAGCAGTACACGCGGTTGCATACTGTCATCTTGATGATGATGTTGATGATGATGATCAATATCGCGTGGATTGTGTAACGCCTCATTTATTTCGGCTTCAGTCAATATGTTTAATTCGACAAATGGCTGGAATTCGGGTCGATTTGTATCAATAGCTGATGGTGGCACTGATGTTGACGGTTCAACACTGTCAGTTCGACGTTTGCGTTTTCTTGCCATGTTAACTGTAGACAATAATGAAATGTTACATTAGAATATGTAAACCTTAACGTAATATGAACATATATATGACAAATTTTGATCAAAAATTAAAAAAAAAATGTAAATGCACAATGTCTTTGAAAAAAATATTTTTTTTTGTTTAGTTTCTCGTTTAATTCCGTTCTAATTCTGTTCAGAATATTCGAATAAGTAGCCTTTGAATGTGCACAAAAGTACCGCTACATTCACAAAACACGCAATAACATGTTTGAAAACCACAGCATTGTCCACAATTGAATGCTCAATATAAATATATGGCACAACACAAAATTTAATTTAACAAAAAAAAATACACATACCTTTTCTTTTTGCGATCGGAAAAAATAAAATGAAACAAACAATGTAAATGCACAATGACTTGGAAAATGAAAAAAAATGCTTCTTTTAGTTTCACGTTTAATTCCGTTCTAATTCTGTTCAGAATGTTCGCACAGTTTGTGTGTCAAACGACAAGTGAAATGTATTGTGGTGCGATGCCGGCAAAAAATACACAGACTCACACAGATGCGCATTCGATTTTGGTTTATGCGCGCCATGCACAATACCAATACAAAAATTTATGTCAACGCAGTTTTCAATTTCACAATACAATACATTTGAATATGCTTACCCGAATGTGATCTTTTGTCGTTGCTACTGTTCTCGCAGTATTGTCCATTCGCTACGCCATATTGCCGTTGCCGCTGTGACGTCGTTCCGATGCAATAGCAAATTGTGTGTACGGCATTAATTCCATGTGTGTTGTTCTCTCCACTGCTACTACTACCACCACAATC